CCAGCTGCTCCGGATGGCACCAGCGCATGTGAGCCGAATGGCGTGGCAGGCTTCGCCGGTAGTTTGTCTGCGGAGCAATTTCGGCGACATGGAGGATGGATCCACCAGCGCGGTTGCACTCTGGACGCTGCGGCAAAGATGGACGCTTGATCAGCTGCACCAAAGCCATGGCCAGCTATGGCAGACGTGTGCAGTGGCAAGCTGCGATGCAGCTTTTCGCGCACATGCCAGTTACGAGGCTCGCGGCAGACTTGGTGGTGTGCAATGCTGCCATCAGCGCAGGCGAGAGGGACGGCCAGTGGCGGACCACCCATCAGCTGCTGTATGTCATGTTCAGGTCACGGTGGCTTCCGGATGCCATCAGCCACAACAGTGCCATCAGCAGCTGTGCAAAGGCTTCAGCATGGTCCTGGGCGATCGAAATGCTGAGAGGCATGGCCATTTCTATGGCGACTCCCAATGTCATCAGCTTCAGCAGTGCAGTGAATGCGTGTGAGAAAACGGGTCGATGGTCTCTGGGACTTCTCCTTCTGGGGCATTTGACGATGACGCTCTCTCCGAACATCGTCACCTGCAGCGGCAGCATCAGCGCATGCCGAGGTGAGCCTTGGTGTTGGACTTTGACAATCTTGGCGGCAGCCTGTGCGAAGGGCATCGAAGCTAACACTGTCGCCTACAATGCCGCCATCAGTGCTTGCAGGGGACAGCTGGAGGTGGCCCAGGGCCTTCTGAGCTCCATGCGCCGGTCCTTCGTCCTCGCCGATGTGGTCTCCTACAACAGCCTCCTGGCAGGCTGCGCCGGGGAGCCGGAAGGCTGGCTTCTGGCTCTCCGGCTCTTGATCACAATGGTCCAGGCGCGGGTTTGCCCCGACGTCATCAGCTTCAACAGCGCTTTGGGCGCCTGCGCCCGGGAGGGGCAGTGGACCACTGCCCTGGCACTCCTCAGTTCCATGCCGGCGCGGAGCCTCTCGGCGGACGTCGTCTCTTTCAGCTCTTGCATCACGGCCTGTGAGACGGCCAGCCAGTGGTTGCGGGCTCTCGGTCTCTTGATGGCCATGGCCGAAGAACAGCTGCGGGCGAACGAGGTCTCCCTTGCCAGCGCAGCCAGCGCCTGCGGTGAAGCAGATGGCTGGCACCTCGCGCTCTCTGTACTGTCCGACATGTCAGCCACAGGGCTGCCAGCGAATATTGTGGGGTGGAATGTGGTCGTCAGCGCATGCGCCAACAGCCATCTGGCGGAGTCTGGGTATTGGATGGTGGCGTTGAGCCTTCTCACATCCATGTCAGAGAAGAGGACTCCACCAAATGTCGTCACCTTCGGTGCCGCACTTGCCGCTTGTGAGAGAAGCTCTGAGTGGGCGGAGGGGCTTGACCTACTTGATGCCATGCTGGCGAGAGGGGTCCGGCCCAACGAGGTCAGCTGCGGCAGCCTTCTCAGCGCTTGTGCTCAGGCTTCTGAGTGGAGGGCCGCACTGGCACTGCTCTGGCGTATGCCCGAGCTCGAGGTTTCCCCTGGGATCATCAGCTTTAACGCTGCGATCGAAGCCTGCAGGCAGCCGGGGGACTGGGCCTTGGCGCTGCAACTTCTCATGGCCGCGAGGAGTTTGGACCTGGAGCCGGATGCCATCACCTTCAGCAGCGCCCTCGGCGCATGCAGCGGCTTCGGCGATTGCGATGGCCCACGCAGCGGGTGGGTCTTAGCCCTGGACCTGGCCGCAGCCATGGAGCAGCAGCAGGTGGCCGGGAACACCGTGTGCCTGAACAGCGCCCTGGTCGTGTGCGGAGCCGCCCCTTGGCGGAAGGTCCTCTCGCTCTTCGGTCGCATGTGCCGAGCCGCTGCGCTGCCCGATGTCTTGAGCTTCGACAGCCTCTGCCGTGCTGCAGATGGCGAGAATGGGCTTTGGCTCACGTCCCACTCTGTGCATCTCGCTAATTCGGCTGTGGACAAGCTCGCGGACAGCCGGCTGTAAGATGTTTGCGGTAACTTGTTTTCGCTTGTGTTGTGCAGGCCAAAACGTTTGTGGCTGGTCTCTTCGGGAAAGGTTCTGCAGTTCTGCATGCTTCCGTTCACAGGGTTGCAGCCACATCATTGTCGATTGCAGAATACGGTCTTAGACTCCGCAAGGGTGCCTCATGATGCATGGCTGGGCTGCGGAATTCTTCTATAGAATCTCGTAGGACAGGTAGGATGGGCACCGGACAGGATGCCATCAAGAAGCAGGGCGAGTCGGCTCAGCCCTCGGTGCTGGAATTGGGGGTGCTTGAACAAAGGGTCAAAGGGTCCCAGAAATCCCCAAACGCCTGCGACCTACGACGTCTCCGGTCCATTGACTGCACCTGACGCCCTCGAGAGGCATCGTTTACTAATGTATTCAGTCGAGTTTGCCTGGGCCCGGAGCCTCAACCAGAATTTTCAAGTCCTGAGACCTCTGCATTTTAAGCTTTCGCCTGAACTCCCCCAGTGGGGGGAGTTGAACGTTTAACTTCGCGTTCTTTCTTGCTTCGAGTCTCGGCCATGAGGTCAAGGCCTGGGTTCAGAACATGGGCGGCTACGTCTTCATCTGCGGCTCCACGGCCCCTCGGAGAAATTCGAGTCCGGGGAGATCTCCTGGCCGTGTGCGTTTTACCGAAGAAACGCAGAGAACATGTAGAAGAAGGAACGCGACCTTGAAGGATCTAGAGTTGCTCTTCAAATCATTCCTACAACTTCGGCCCAGAGGCATCGTTTTGACAGGATCCGGCTCAGCTTGAGAAGCTCTTTCCAGAGTGTTTTCCGAAGCAGTAGGAATCTACGATCGCAAAAAAGTTCACAACTCCCATAAACTTCGGGGAGGGTGTCCCAAAAAGAGCCTCGGACTGATCCGGGTGGGATACTTTGCATCCCCCCTTTTGCGGCCACAAGCAGCTCTCTGCCCCCAGCCCAGGCCATGGGTAACGGTGTGTTGCAGGCGCTGGGAGAGGCCTTTGCCCCTCTGGGCGGAGCCTCCCAAGCCCCTGGGCTCTTTTTGGGGGGTCCCTGCCAGGTCCTGGAAGGCGGCCCCGAAGCCGTCGACATGCTGAAAAGCGAGGGTCGCATCGTCGCGGCTCCTGGGCTTTCGCACCCATTTTGCTTCGTCGTCGTCCTAAGTCCCCAGAACTGACGCATTCGGACAGGGACAGGCGGTTTTATTCACCCGGCCTCCACCAGCATGGTGGTGGAAGCACTCACCCAAACCCGAGTGCGACAGCCCGTGCAGACGTTCTTGGCTGCTCAGGAGATGTGGGGCTGAGAATCGAGAACGCAATTTTTGGGATACCTCGTGTTAGAGGTGTCGAGCAAGTGTCTCTCGGCGTGTATGCCGCGGCGGTTTGTCGATGCGGTGTCACGTTGGTTTAGGGCAAGTAGGGCATTCCTTTTTGGGTGATGCCATGGCCATGACCTCCCGCACGCAGTACTTCAGCCCGCTTTTGAATCCAAGCCATCATGTCGATCTTTCGGCAGCAACCCCATGAGGAAGCCCTGTTCTTCGTATGCGGCAGCAAATGTTGGCGCACGAAATCTAGGAGGTCGAGGTTCGGGTAGCCGAATCCGAGGCATCCCGCTATCCATCCGCGGAGACGAGCTTAGACTTAGGCATAGCTTGAGCCTTGAAGCCAGTGATTGTGTAGTGTGGCAGCAGTTGTATCGCAACCAGCGACGAACATTTTGCTCGGTAGTAAGAGCTCTGTCGGAGCGTTGTGCAGGAAAGTCTCCGTGCAGACTGAAGCCTAATTTCTTGCATCGTGCTATGGGCTTGAGATACTTAGTCACTCCATATGTTGGTGTGGGGCTCCCTTTTTCGAGGGGTGGCTCGTCTTATCTCTGCGCGGGCGGGGTGCCTCGCGCCGGCGTTCTTCGGGCCGTTAGGAGGGAAGGGCCCAGATCGTTCGATGCGGCGTGTAGGTGTGTTCGACGCAGCTTTTTGTCGCTGCTTTCGCTTGGAAGCCGCAGACAGCACGGAGTTGCAGAGCTAGCAGCCAGGCTCGGGGCTTTGGGACTCTGAGCCCTTCGGCTCCAAGGCCCTCCAACGTTTCATCTTTTCGGGCACTCAAAGGGCGGGCTTTCGAAGAGGCTCGCGCCAGTGTGCCGCGCTTTGCCCATGCTCCCCGGTGCAGCTCCATGCAGGAACCATACCTAGTTCGTATGCGAGAGCAAAAAGAAGCCCAAGCTCCCGGGTTCCGGGTTCCGGTCAGCCTCGAGCCCAGGTGCATCCCCGAAGGTACACACACTCCTTGCTTTGCGTCTTTTTTTTTTTTTGCATGGGTCCAGTTGCCACCACAAATCCGTTGGGGCACACGCCCAGTGGCAACAGCCAAGACAGGTCAGTGCGTGGCCACCCAGTGGCTGGCCCAAGAGCCCGTGCAAATCGTGCAAGCGCCACACCGTTGGACTGAGTTGCTTCGCTTGGTGCGTCCGGCTGCCCTTGGTGACCAGCCAGAGTCAGCGGAGCAAGTCGTCTGCGGTTCGAGCTCGGGCTTGCCATGCCTTGGCAAGGGGCCTTGAATCTTCAATCTTGCGATTACGAAACTCCCCAGTAGGCTGGGATGGTGGCGCTTGGCACACCGGGCTCTAAAGGCTGATGTAGCACCAAGCGGACCAAGCACCTCGCAAGAAGCCCCCACCAACCCTGGTGTTGCTGAGGATCCAAGCCACCGAGACTCTGGCCCATACCGCGGAGATCGACTCAAGCGTCTTCTTGTATTTGAGACCATGGCGCACGGGGGGAAGCTCCAAACAAAAGCAGAAGCTACTTGCTGCAAGAAGCTGAGAAGCAGTGTGGCAAACCGTTCATATGTCTTCCAGAGTCTCTCAGGCTTTATGTAATGCGGGCATCCAACGATGCCCGAACCCGTGCCGAGAACATTGCCACAACTGCAATTCCCCCAAGCACTGAAATCATTGAGCCCACGATCGGCCTTTGGCCAATGACCACTCTGCACGCCTGACCCTTGCTATCTTCAAAGCAGTGACGTTGCTGGCCATGAATTGCCCTGGTCGTCCCGCCGTGCGGCCGCTCGAAGACTGTGAGCAGAAGAAGGCCGGTCATGTCAGATGGCGCAGACTTCTCTTTGAGGTCCTCTGATTCTCTGCAGCTAAGCGGTGGTCTGTCTCGAGGTGACAACCTTCTCATCGTGCTGGGGTGCACGGCCTGTGTCACAACCGAGCTACTTGACCAGGCTAGAGACCTTCCTTTTGCTATGGCGCCCGCGGGCGGTTTGCCGTTTCAACGAAGATTCTCGTGTCAGTGTGCACTGGCCATATTCCACCGTCCGAATCCGCAGTTCTTGGAGGCCTTGGAGCTCCGAAGACTGAAGCGATCCAGGCAGTACCCACACCCCTTCGGCACGGCACTCCGAGGGATGCCCTCGCGACGATATTCAAGCCCAGCGTAAGTTTTGCATTCAAAAGGGTCTCAGACTCAGATCGCTCGCGATCCGAGGCTGGGGTTGGCCACGCCCTCGGCAAGTTCCAGCGGCCCTGGTCGCACTTGGATGTTCGGACTTAGGGGTCCCTAGTGGCACTCTATTTAGACTCGAGCAACAGCAGACAGTCCGAAATCAGACACCGAACCAACAACTGCAACTTGCAGAGGATAGGAGCGTGGACAGAAGCAGACGCCCCACGAGCCAACATGAAGATGGAGGCTTGTACCCAACTGCTTCACTGCTGTGCCTAGAGGCATAGAGGCTCACACCCTTTTCCTTTGCCTTTGCGATAGCAGTCGCCGTGCCAGAAGCACCGACCCGCATCAGAAAGAAGGAGCAGTCTGGTCCAGACCGCTGTTTGAGCGACGATAGCTCACGACAGGGAGACCCCTGCACAACTTAGGCTAGAACCGTGTGGATCGCAACGTGGGCAACTCCCAGTCACCAGCTTGAAAACAAGACCACTCTCTCAGGCGCTTCTGGCGCTTCTTTTTGCTTCCTCCGCGCCGCGGCTGCGGTGCCGCCGTCGCGCAGGGGACCGGGGCAGCGGGATCGATTGAGCAAGAGCTGGACGGGAAGTGAAGGAAATGCAAACGAGCAATCCTAGCAGCCGTGTTCAGGTGGTGCATCATTATCTGCTTTCCCAGGCACAATCGGCCTAACTTATCCAAAACCAACAACATTTTTTTTTTTCACGCCTGGGATCCTGCGTTGAGTTGCCAAACCCCGGACACACCTGCAATGTTCCTCCAAATTTGTGACTCTGCATGGTAGGCTTGTTTGCTTGCTGATCTATGTTGGTGTGCAGTGTTTTGAATTCGCGGAGGTCACACTGTTGATGATATAAATCGTGCATTACCTTAAGGACCCTCAACTATGGGAGTTATGGTATGGTCCTTATCATGGGTAATGCAGGATTAATATCATCAACCGTATTTTCCCAGCAGCTAAAGAGAAAAAGCAAGCGAGCAAACATGTGAGGTATTCATATCTATGTCGTTACTTATACCTATACCTACATCTGTACCATTCTATACCGTCTAAACCATATCTATATCTATACCTATATCAGTCTATCCGTCCTTTTAACTATCTACGTATCCACCCATCCATCCATGCGCATAGGTATGTCTGTACATGCATCCAAAAGCCGCGCTCCAGGACAGCTTCGAATTCAACACGCGGCTTTGGAATCAGTTTCTGCGGATTGCGCAGCCCTACTTCTTGCCCTTTCCCGACGCTCGCCGTGCAGTCTGTCGGACGAGTTCGGGGATTCGGGGATACATGTCACGTCGACGAGGTTTCCCCCTTTGTCGGCGGTTGACACACTTGAAGCCTCCGTGACTTTTCGTCGAGACGCATGCTTGCCAAGAAGCCGGATGTCCGCTTCGTGGAAAGGACGAGCAGGAAGCCTCCGATGCCCAGCCCGGATTCGTTGCGTTGATCCTGGCCACTCTCGTCGGCGGCTGGGCTCTTTGTTGACTTCGGGTTGACGGCCATGTGGTGTGTGTGGGAGGTGGGATTTCCCCAACAAACTGTCTGCAGCAAACTCAAGGATCCGTTTTAGTTCCTCTCCGGCATGTAGCAGTCCCAGCCAAGCCTTTTCATTTCAACCAGAAATTCCACCCTAAACCCCCAGGTTTTTTTCCCTTGTAGTACTGCCTCTTTTTAGCTCCTTTTCCGAGGCGTCGTGGGAGGAACCTTCTGGCTGGCTCTGGGTGCCGGCTCGGCCGCCTCGGCGCTCCTCGGGAGCCTCCCGGAAGGCCACTCTCAGCACCTTTTTTTTTGGAAGAGGGGTCTTTGAACCAGAGTGTGTCTCTTTTTGCCACAGCTCGGGGGCGAGTTGACCCATCATGGGACCCACTAATCACTAATATTACTAAAATATGCTTCTCTGTTCTCAGGACTCTATTGCGAGTCCTACAAAAAGGCCCAACTGCAGCATAGAAAAAGCGCCCCCCTTGCTGCCCTTCGAGAGTCTCGTTGCGTGAGGCTTGGGCGGCACCCTGACCTCCATGCAGGCGACGGGCTCCTGTCGCATCTTTCAGAAACCCCGAAATCAAGTCTTATATTATATAAGATCTCAACGTACACAATCATGCAAGTAATGGTGTTTTGACAAATTATAACACTATTGCATATGATATCTTACAATATTGAAGGGATGCGATGGGCAAGAGCCCAAGAAAACCCCGAAGCCTCCAAGACCGAGACCTCCTCGACCTCCGGTCTTGAAAGGCTCCCGGGCTGGAGCTTGTGGCGCTTCTCGGCGTCCTAGGTGCCTTGCGGGGTGCCGACAGAGTTGCCGCCTTGCTCTGGCAAAAGGAACAACCGCAGTCCCACACTAGGCAGAAGAGGAAGACACCACAGCAGTGGGATCTCCGTGGGGCAAGCGTGAGCAGGTGCCTCTGCAACTTTTGCCGCCGCGCGTCAGCGTCTGCAGGGCCGCTGGCGACAGCCACTGGGTGCGTTCAGGATATTTGGGGTTCCAGGTTTCTGCCGTTCGAATTCAGTGTTTTTGAGTGCCCGATGCTCGTTCTTTGGTCTGCCGCGAGCGCCTACGAGCTGTCGAAATGACAGTTGGCCTAGTACGATTCTCGATCCTGATGGAGCAGCGCTCAGGTGGTGGCTTCTGGCGTTGCTGCTTTTCTTGCTCTTCTGCGTCACGGGCCTCAATGTACTGCTGAGCTATGCAAGGGCCTCAGGTCCCTTCCGGTTTGGAAGTTGGAGCTGAAGCGTGGAGGACCAGAAGCGCATGCGTGTCAAGCTTGACTGGCGGAACGAGCAGCTCCGTCGCTCAGAGGGATTCGGCTTCGGGAATGCCGGGCTCGCTTCGGAGGTCTTCCGGGCGATCGACAACGTTCTTGTGGCTTGGTAAGCATCAACAAATTCGAAGCTTCCGTGTCTGGCGAGCTACGAAATCCGTCGCTGTAATGTAATGTTTTTGAAACAAGCACCCAGGGTGACCCTAGCATGGATGCAAAGAAGAGTGCGAGTCACGAGCCCGAAGCCAGCAGTTCCCGTAGGCTTTCAATGTATCAGGTTGAGAAGAACGCGACGGAGTTCTACGCACAACTGGGCGTGTTTGGTGCTGCCCTGGCCGTTGCGGTGCCAGTGATTAGCACCTCAGAGTTGTTGAGCGTTTCTTGAAGACTTCCGAGGGACTATAAGACTTTCCTTTGCAGGAAGTTTCTCAGACGACAAATCTCAAATCTCGCCCTTGACGCTTGCGCGAGAGAGAGAGCCGAGGCGGCTACCGCTACGTCCGGCTCACGCTCGGCCCGGGGCCCCAAAGAAGAAGGGGCCCTTTTTTTTGGGGGGTCTTCGGGTCCCTTTTTTGGCCTTTCCTCTTCGAGTTTGAGGCCGGAGCTGGCGCCAGAAGTTGACGGAGCTCTTCCTCGAGAAGTACCTGGAAAACCGCTCCTTCTACCTCCTCGACTCGAGACTCCGCTGTTATACGAGTCGTACAAAAGAGGGCATCGTGTAGAGAATGGGCAGTGTTTCAAGATGCCGGGGTGTCTGTGCTTTCTTGAGGTCATCACTTTGACTCCACGCCGTCAATGCCACGGTTGTGGCAGTATGTGCTGGGACAAGTGCACGAAGCCCCGCGGCCCAGGAACTCGCAAAGCACCGACGTGGACAACCCGGACCAGAGGATTTCGGAGGATGTCGATTACTTCACCAAGGTCACGCTGGACTTCTTGCCCCTGAGCCTGCACATGCCAGCCTTGCCTCGGAGAGAGTCTTGGGCTTTTGCTTAGGCTGGACATCCTTGACAGCGTGCTGAACCTCGCAGCTTGGCGAAAGAGTAGATCTTCGGATCCCCCAGCTCAGGGACCTCCTTTCACTTAGACTCACTTGCGGTGGGTGTCAGCAGGTGTCCTTTTCTGCAATCCTGTGGACCACCTCGCAGACCCTGACTGGAGCTCTGGCTGTGTACGTCACCCGGCCTTTTGGGTACACGCCTAAGAAACTGGGGACCAAGCGGCCCGGAACCAACGATTTGTCTCGAATCTGGCAGCACTCAGACATGTCCGTCATCGTCAAAGGTAACGTCCGAAGGCAGAGTTCTTTGCAGTGGTCATTCTACCATTATATGATCATCGTACTGCCAGTCCAGAACGTACACGGTTGAGAGAACTGAGCGTTGCGGAACTTTGAAGGCTTTGGTCGGCACCTCGTTGGCCGTGTACCTGGGAGGCCATCGGCTCTTTCTGGTGCGTGTCCTGTTGGGCTCAGGGCCGGACCTTCTGGGGTTTACAGAATACGAGAGATGCACCTCCCTCTTGCTGCTTGAGTCGTCCAGCTGTTGAATTTTTTCACGCCTGCCATTGAAGCCGGCCGTGCGTCAAACAGTGGAGGCCTTTACATCGATGTTCGGTGAGGAAGCTTGTAAGGGCCTTCAGAGCAGGTCGCCTTGTCGGCCTCAACTACGAGCAGCTTCGCTTGCAAGCGGACTTCCGCTACAGTTGCTTGGCCTGTTAAGGGAGGCGCCCTAATTCCGCACATTTCCGCGCCCCAGCTTCTTGCACAAGACCCTGCAGGTTGTTGCAGTCCGATAGTTGGAGAGGAGTGGGAGAAGAGCTCGAGAGTGGAGAGGGGCAGCGTAGGATTTTCAGTCAGGCTTGGTGCACGTGCGCGACAATGCAGAAGCGATTGCTTTCTATGGTGGCGAGAAGCGTGAAGAGGGTGAGGCTGACTGCAGTGCAGTGGCGTTTCTCGTTAGGTTCAGGGCTGGTCAAGGGGATTTCGCCCGCATCGAGATTTCTGTTTTCAGTGGGTATCATCGGAGCTTGTTTCTGTTGCGACAGCACTCCAACTTCCTCCGGAGCCGGAACTCCAAGTCATGGTGGGAGGGACCTAGAGGAGCACATGAACAGAAGGATTAGCAAGCACGGGTTTCTGGAAGTCCCCCTTGTCGGGGTCCTCTTCTAATGCTTTGTGCCACTAGGCATGCCCGAACATAGCATACATAGCAGCGAGGTCCAAAGCAAAGAGAAGCCCGACGTAAGCACCGAAAGCACGGTGCAACTGTCGCGAACCTGGCCCTAGCCGCACGTACCCTAGTTCACATCGAGTTCGCATCGTAGAGTGGACGACGCCCAGAGCTCAAGTCCTGGTCCTGGTTCTCCGGGCTCCTAAGCCCTGATCCAACCAAAACCTTGAAAAACCCCTCACCATTTTTTGCCCTCACAAAAACAAAAGCACCCAAAGCTCACTGAAAAATCCGACAGGTCAAGGCGAAGCTGGGAGCAACCCTGTCGAATTACGACCAGCTGAGCTTCGGCCTGGTTGAAGGGTTCCATGAGGGAGGCTGCCTCAGCTCCCGTCTTGAGACGAGTTGTGTTGCCATGTTGCGTTGTTGAGTCGCACTACTCTGGCACGGCGCTGCCGTATAGAGCTGCCGTCAGCACCGGCCTCACGGTTCCGTTCAGGCGCAGTCTGAGCAGCTTGTGCGATGGTGTTTCGTTGTTGCATTTGCGCGTTGCAAGATGTAAGACGAACAGTCTTGACATCTTGGGGGCGATCGCTTCGTGCAGAGATTGTCTGGTTTGGGGACCCGGGTGTTTTGGCCCGGGGGCTGCAGGCTTTTGTGCCAGCAATGCGGCAGGCTCGATGCATCACCCAACTCCCATGATCTTCACCCAATTTTTTAGTCGCGAATCTGCAGAGAGACCGACTTGATAAGCAAGGGGCACTGTTTCGCTCAGCTTGATGGAACTCCGCTGCTCCCACAACTCTGCAGCCGACAATCCAAGGATCATCTGGGAGACGGGGCTTTCCGCCTACCAGCAGGCCTTCCTCGAGTCACATGGAGGATCAAAGCTCCAGCTTGGGGTTGCATGGCTGCTGAGATCCGAAGCTCTGGTCGAGGCGTTCTTCTACCTAGCGCGCCTGGTGCCCTATTTCGTGCTCGGAGGTCTGTACTTCTCCGGCCAGGCAGTCGCCAGGGTTTCCGATGACCGTTGGAAATTCTTTCAGGTTTGTTCAGCACAGGGCACAGTGTTTCTGAAATGCTCTTTGATGCTCCTCGTAACCTCTTACCACGGCCGTGGGTTACGAGGACGGCCATGCCTATAAGACCTCGATAAGTTGGCTTACTATGCTGTGTCCATAGCTATGAGTTTCAGAGGTTTGCAGACAGGTTCGGGACAGGATGTAAACCACCGAACTCCCAGAGCTTTGTGCAACAGAGCGCAGCAGCAAAATTCCGTCTTGATTTCAAGGCTCATGTGTTTAACCGAGGAGTGCTCAGCCACGAAACCCTGCAGTAAGGGGCCCAGGGTTTCCGACCCCAGCCGTTCTCCGTTGCCTTGGAGGTGGACTTCGGCACATTGGGCCAAGCACAGTTCGCTTTCAGCATGGTCGTGTGCTCGGCGGTTTGCAAGCCATGGAAAGGTGTGCGGAGTGTGAATTCAAAATACACGGAGTCAGAGCAGGCGTCAGATTTCTCAAGGCAGTGTGCAGAAACGGAAACAGGTAAATAGTTCTTGCAGGTTGCAGATGAACTCGAACTAGGTGCATCTACCATCAATCGGTGAGGTTAGAAACCCCCGAAACTGCAGGTTCTCAGCTCCGTCACCATCATCGTGTCGCGGATCCAGGACTGGCCGAACGGTCAGAATTGGCCCACCCCCTACTGCAAACCGTCGAGACAGGACATCTCCCGCTTCTCGGCCGGGATCTCCCGCTTGGGAGCTTTCTTGGAGGTGCCGGCGCGTGAGTTTCGCTGCACCAAAATAAAAAGCACGCTGGATTTTGGACCGACGTCCCACAAGCTGCCTGAAGTGTGATGCAGCTGGATGGCCCAGCAAGCGGCTCTTTGACCGTTTTTGCGCTCGATGATTTCTGTTCTTTTTGGAAAGGCGCTGACGAAGCCCCCGGATGCAAAGGCGGCAGGGGCCCAGGTACATCGCTTCCAAGGCCGTTTGGTGTCAGCTTTGCGTGCAAGAGCCTGCCATTCTGCGCTTCACACATATACTTATATCGCGAACCATGGCTTAGCAAGAGCAGACGCTGGATCCATCTTGCACGTCGCTTGTAAGGCTCGGATCTCGACTCTGGAGGGTGCCGGGAGCTCAACTTTCCGGTGTCATTTTGAATGCAACTTCACGGATTCTTGATGCCTTTGTGCCTTGTGCTGCTAGTATGTGGTTTTAGTCTTAGTTGAACAACTTGTGGTCAAGTATTCGTCCTAGCGGAGTCGCAGCAGGCCAGTTTCAAAAGTTGAACAGCAGAACTGCAGCTGATACTGGGGTGAAGTGTAGCTGCGACACCGTCAGGTGGCAAACACATCGTTTTTGCAAACGGTCCAGAGCACATGAATTCCCTGAGCCCTGCTGCCTTGCTGCAGTCCGGCTTGCAATTGCAGAAGATGACGCTCTTCACCCCGGTGCGCAGGGATGGTTCGGTCAGGGATAGTTGCAGGCTGCCACTTCCAGATAGTGCAACCCGTGCTGTTTCTAGCATCTTTCTTGGCAAGAGGCTATGTTCAGCGCGATTTCATCCGAAAAAGAGAGAAGTCTAAGACCTGGGCCCGGGTAGGAGCCCTTCAAGTCGAAGTCATCCCTGATTTTGGGAACCTCGAGTGCAATGCCCCAGCAAAAGCCCTCCCAGAGATTCAAGTCGCGCCGAGCTGCTTCGTGCCTAATTGCAAGTTTCACGATTTTTGTTGAGCCCCTGATTTCTGCCCTTCGTACACTCTGCCCTGCTGCCGGGAGGATGGCTCGCGGCTTCTGCTGAAGGATCTAGACATGGCCCTTTCCGAAGGCACGGGTTGGGGAGAAGTGGAGTCTACGAAAACAGAGGGCTCCGAGGGTTCAGAAAGAATCGCTGGGGCATGTTCTGGCTGCCGTTTTGCACCCCATGCAAGGAAGGACTTCGAATTATGCAAGGAAGATGGAATCGATGCTGCAAAGTACTAGGACCCCAGAAAACACCAGGACGCCCAGCCAGTTCAACACACACATTCAGTGCTTTGACATTGGGGTCGGCAAGGGCTCGGCTAGCTGTCCGAGATGAATTTCAGTTTTTTTCCACTCTTCGCCGCCTTCAGGGCGACAGCGTCGGCTGTTGGTGGTCGGTAGCAGCGGCGTCGGCAAGAGCTCGGTGCCACGGCCACGACTGAGGGGGTCGCGGAGTTAGCTTTCAGCCGGTGCTACAACGATTTGGGCATTGCCTTCGTTATTCCGATTAGTGATTACCGTTGTGGTTAGGGTTATGGCTCGCTTGCGAGACAAGGGAGAGCCCGAGACAGGTACTGCGGGCAGTGGCCGGGCTCTGGAATAGAGGCGAAGGCGACGTCATCAATCCTACAAGACAACTTCTCCTCCCGATTTTCTGGAGAACTCGTTTTTTCGAGCGCAGTCCAGGTTCAGACTTTAGGGGTTGTTGCAAGTCGCTTGCAAGTTGCAGGTTGCTGGAGGGTGTTTGGGTTGTTAAGGGCAGAAGGTTTTGGGGTTCCGTTCCTCGCCTTCTGATCTCACCATTTCTGCTAAAAAGTTCTCGCGCGGTTTCCAGTGGCGGGTTTCGCCTCTTGAGAGCGTGGGGCCTCTTACAGACATTTCACTGCTTGGATGCATTTGTGGCTGAGATTTTGCGCCGCCCTCATAAGTAGCGGTAAGCTTGTCTCATCCAGCTTTGTAGATCAGCTGTTGCCGAGATCTTGAGAGCGTGGTGCAGGCACCATTGTGAGACCACCCTCCGCTCAGATGCGGAGGGCTCAGTCGAAGGATCTTTTTTTGGGACGTGACGGAGACGGTGACGGCGACGTCAGAGAGCCTTTTTCTTGCGAGGCTCTTTTTGCCGCAGAGGCCCGGCCCTCGGTCTTAGCTCTTTTTTGGACCACGGCACGCACCCCTCCTCCTCTCGAGGCCTTACATGCCTTTGGGAGATCTGCGCACTCAGCTCCTTTACCCATCAGCCGCTTGGACTTCAGCGACTGCGGCGGAAGTTCATGCCGTTGCAGCTGAGGAGGGCACGCTTGGCGATCACGCTGATGCGGAGCTCGAGGATGTGTGTGGGACTTTGCTCAAATGTCGAGTGGTTTGGTAGGGAAGGGCGTCAAACTGATGGCACCAGGGAATTGTTGAAGCATGAGCGCCATTAAAGCCATTGCCCACCCGATTCGTGTCCTTCGAAGCTAAGGCCCTGAGTCCGTAGCCTGAACTGGAACTGGCGTGCTTGGTGTTTATGAGTTAATGAGGCGCGCGGTGCCATGGGCTTTGAGGTCCCAGGATTCGAACCTTGCCACTTTGGTTCAAGAAGTGCCGGCCTGTATGCTGGCCATGGAACTCAAGGTCTGCGAAGAGGTCCTCGCTGGCCCTTGTGCGGACGAGGTCGCAAGCAAGGTTCAGAAGAGAGTCATCGGGCGTGCGCAGCCTGAGGCCCGGAATGAGGAGTCAGAGCCCTCCAAGTCCATCGCCACGTTTCTAGCTCTGATGACTCCGGTAAGCGACGAAAGCATCCGGTCTGCGGCGGCCTACCTGCCGCTTAGGAACTTCGGAGAGCCTCTGCGGAAGTCAGACGATGGGTGGTACCATCTCAGCGAACCTGCGGCGCAGATTGATACGTTCTGGAGCCATAGTTGGCATGGCAATGATTTGTGCAAGATCTTCACGCTCTTAGTGATCTACAATTCGAGACAGGCCATGGTCATAGCTTCTTTCGGTGCCCTTCTCGCTAGCTTCCTCTACGCGGGACAGCTTCTGCCGGGCTGGGATGTGGATGCTCACGATGCGCTCTCCAACTCGGTCTGGGCCCTGGTAGTTGGGACCGTCTTCTACCTTGTGCTCTTGTTCGCAGGCCGACCCCGGGAGCGCGTCTTCTTGGACATCGTGTGCATCGACCAGAAAGACAGGTCCAGGAAGAGAGAGGGGACGAGGAGCATCTCGGCCTTTATCAAGCGCTCGAAGTCCATGATCGTGCTGTGGGACACCACATTCTCGAGGCGCATGTGGTGCCTCGGTAGCACTTCGCGACAGCTTCACAAACAAAGCAGGTGGGTTGGCATCCTTTGCGACAGGATACTACTGATTTCTACTGACGAGTAAGGTTGTTTGTGTAGCAAAAGCAAGCAAGGTGCATCTTCGAGCTTTCGGCATACCTTCACAGCCGTTCTCCTGATGAGGGGCCGCACCTCACTATTCGGCCAACCATCTTCGGGCCTACCTTCTTCTGCTTGACTGTTGGCATGGTGCTAGTACATGGCATCATCATGCTCTTTGAAGGTGCTGGTCTGATATTTGTGGAAGGTGTCGTGGTCTGTGTAGGCTTCTACACCTTCGTTCTGACCTGCCGCCACTACTTCCGGTCGCTTGAGCAGCTCCAGCACGATCTTCATGACTTCACGGTGGACGAGGCGACCTGCCAGTGCTGCAGTGCCCCGCATCCGGAAGGTTCAAACTGTGACAAGGAGATGCTCCTGAATTGCATCAGGCTGTGGTTTGGCAGCGTCGAGGTTTTCGAAGAACGGGTGCGCAAGGACGTCCTGTGCTGCCTGATGGAACAGCTCTCTGGAGATTTTTTCTCATACAGGCAATGCATTGTGGCCTTGATTCCCGCAATGTGGTCTGGACTGGACTATGCGTCCGGTGCATGGCTGATGTGCACACAGCTGATCGAGAGAACAGGTTTGGATGGGGACGGCTGCCCAAACCAACTGCGAGGTCCGCCGGGCGCGTTTTTGGTGAACTGGCTGCTCAGGGCCGCTGTGTGGTGGCTCGGTGTCGTACCTTCGATCCTACTCCTTGGGATGAAGGCTATGTACTACCTTCGACAGAGATCTCGATCGAGATGCCTGGATGAGGTGGTCAACATGGCCATACTTGTATGGATGGCAGCACTAGTCTTGGGAATGATCGAGTTGGAGAGCTTGTGTTGGCGTCTTTCAGGCACTTTTCCGGTGGAGCCGATTAATCTGAGACGTTGGTGGTGTGGGATGGTCGTGTTTGCATCAATTATGCTGCCGTCCGCCTGGGTCTTGTTTGCCTTCTTCGGCATGCGTCGCAGTGTGGTCCTATACAAAGAGCAGAGTTCTGCGGTGCCGACACCGGCAAAGCCGGAGGAAACAGGACAGTGGGAGCAGCGTGCTGAGTCGGAGATCCTGAAGCCATCGAGATGGTCTTTGTGAGCACCTCAAGGTGAGCTATTGCGCAGATGGCTGCAAAAGTCGTCTTGGAGCACCTCTGGCTTCTTTCGAAGTCTTGGCAACCCGCACGAGGCGAGGGTGTACAGCAGCTTTTGCCAAGGCCAACAATGGGAGTGCTTCTCGTTGGCTGACATCTATGCGACCTGTTGCGGGGTGTGAGAAGTGAAATTCTGGGTGTTGATGTTGTTTCTCCCGACCATGAGGCTGGAAGCGCGAGAAGTTAGGGTGTTGTTCTGCAGTGGGTAAAGCGACTACCTCAAACCCTAGGCCCTAGACCCTAATTGCTTCGCTGGCCTGTGCCGCCCTAGTTGCGAGAGTCCAAATGCTCAGCCTCGCCTGCACCGCTCGGGTCGCGACAATCCAAATGCTTTCTTCCGCCGAAATCCGTGGAGTGCGCGAGTCGATCGATCGAAATGCTTAGTTCTTTTGTTTCAGTGTCTGCAGTCTGGCTGCATACACGCAGAAACAGCGCGCACACACACACATGCACATGTACATGTATATACGGTATACGTAGAGTATGACATACATGCACATGCGTGGTTAGCAGACGTTCGCATACAAGGTACACCTGGACATGCATACACACATTACACTCATACACATAGACATACATGTACATACACATGCACATTCATGTTTGCGAAACATATGCATGTGCGTACGCAGGCAGATACGCGTACCTACGAAGATGCGCAAGCACGCATGTGTTGACGTTGGCACACGTATAGACAATGCCTACATACGTACGTAGCAGGCAGTACCTACCTAAGTCTGTATGTATGTATGTATGTTTGTTGCCCCTAAACCTCGCCTGCGATGCCGAGTGCGAGTGCTAAAAATGTATGTTTGTTTGGACCCCGTCGAGTGCGAGTTCCAAGAAATGCATGTTTGTTTGTATACGCACATACACTTCTGCACTGCACTTTGAGCTTTCAGCTCGCGGCAATGGTTCGATGTCCTCGTGTTGCGTGGCGCCTGGCTGCTGCCACGGCGGCTGCAGGGGGAAGTACGCTGGCGCCAGCATGCTGTGAGGAACGGAAGAAAGGCCTCCCGGCATGGTTTTTGAGTTGGAGCCAAGGGGCTTGACGGGATGTCTCGGGAGTTTCAAGGTTGACTGCTCAGTCTCAGAGTTAGCTGTTGAAGGTGGTAGCCCTGTCTTCTTTGTTCCTTCTCCGGCTTTGCAGGCACCTTAGGGCCTAACCTCCACTAGAACCAAAGCTTGCCGCCCCTGCCGCCTCCCAGCCTGACCAAGGGGTCGTCTTCGTGGCGCCGGATATGCGGGGCGGTCGAGGACTTCACGGTTCAAAACGAAATTCACGCGCTGGTGTAAAGGTTAGCATAAGGGGTACCGCACGGGCCACTACAAGGGTTCTATCACGGTACCATGCCCTCCGCATTTTGGTTGTTGCCTATGCCTTCGACAAATCAGCTGAGCGCAGTCCTGAAGCCGAATACCAGTGTACGATGAAGTCATTCCTATGCAACAAGGCAATAAGTCGTCATACTACATCACATTATGCTGTGCCCTACCGTATGAAGCCCTTTTGCAGGTTTCCGTCCTGCACTAAACCTCCCAGACAGAGATGCCCCGAACCACGCCCATACACACCAGACTAAGAGTTAGACGTCACACTGTACCCAGATAGAACCTGTATAGTACAACCCGCTGAAAGCATCAGGGAGCAGACCTTGCTTGGATTGTCCGATTACCAGCGTTAACAAATCAGCATGGTTATGCTTAGGGTAGCCATGCACCTACCACTTAAGTATAACCCTAGTGAAGATATCTATATCACTATTTATCGCCATATATACTTAAGTTTTGCCCGAATTAGGGGTTTTTTGTAAGCATACTTACCAAGCCAGTGCAGCTTGTGGAACGGATCCGCAGGAAACCAAGGCCTCCGGGGCCTCCTCCTGGCTTTCCACGGCCAGGGGCTTCGGCACGCCGTTGAGGCGCCCCTTTCGGGACTTCGAGGGTCTGTTTTGGGGGCTGTCTGTGGGCACTCAGGGCTTGGGGGGTTAGTGGGGGAAGTTCGGGGTGCTCCACTGCCATAGGGGTTTCGGCGCGGGGTGCTTCAGCTTGCCTTGGTCGCCCAGTCTTGGAATCCTGCAGGCATCACGGGAATCCCCCTGGCGAGGTCGTGGCTCATGTTTAGTTGGACACATGTTGAGGCCATCTGTGCAATATACATACATACATACATACATACATACATACAGACATATGTGTTTATGTATGTATGTATGTATGTATGTATGTATGTATGTATATACATGCACACATGCATGCATGGATGCATGCATGGATGGATGTATGGATGTATGTATGTATGCACGCATGTAGAAAATATGTGTATACATGCATGCATACATACATACATTTGTATGTATATACATGCATGCATGCATGCATACATACATACATCTGCATACATACACCATGTGCTTCAGCACGAAGGCAGAATGCTTGTACCCGAGGCCTTAAATCCTCCAGCATGTATGTCTACATCTTATCTATATTTATATGTAGGCATGAGTATGCAGGTCAGGACTCTAACTTCGAAACCCTGACTGCTAAGCATCTTCTTTTACAAACCGAGGTTCGGAGGAGCAGCACTCCGGGGGCTTGCTTCGTCGACCGCCGGATTCACGAGTACGTCGAGGACGTCGTTTGGTGACAGTTTGGTGTTCAGGAGTAAAGCAGCCAGGCAATCGCAACAGAAAGCCAGTTCCAGACATAATCGTAGCCAAGTCCCGGTTAGCGTGGCGGGCAGCTGAAGTCTCCTAAAGCGCCATAGATGTTTCGTCGGGCTCCCAAAAGCGCCTCCCAAAAGCGCCGCCATCTTTGGTTTTCGAGTTGGAGGACGTGTTAAACTCGGGTGGCCGGGCGGCGAACCTCGAAAAGGCGAGTCTGAAGCTGACCTTTTTTTCAGACTTTTTTTGTGTCCCTTTTTTGAAGGGCTTTCGTCTTTTTCGGGATTTTTTTTGTGGAAGAATCGAGAGGGAGAAAGGATTTCCAAGGAACTCACCGCCTCTTGCTGCTGCTGCCCTTGGACTTTCTAGAGGCTGCACGCGGAATCATGCAAAGCTCTTGTTGCACTTTCGGGAAGGCGTTCTCCTACCGCTGTGTGGATGCACCCGGGCAGAGCTTGGCCGCTGGCTGCAATTGGGACCGGGGTCTGGAGCAATGCTAGCAGTAGCAGTAGTACTGCACATGCTAAAATAAAAGTAAAGGAGAAGAATTCTCACAGAGCTTTAGCATGTGAGGTGTTTGCAGCCCAGCTTTGGCAGCTTCCCCTTGGGCTTGGTTGCACATGACCTCAATCTGCGTCGGTTTGCTACACTCGTCATCACTGGGTGGCTGCTAGATTTCTGAGGAGGACGTGGACGTGGCTACTGCAGCTGCGAAAGTGCGAAATGCTTCCGCAGGGGTGGACATGCTCAGAAGCCTTCGGCCTTGTGGTTACGTACTTGAGACCTCGATGTTCGGAAGAACCGCAAAAGATGCGATCTTAGTCAAGGTTCCATCCCGGATACATGCCTTCTTGGAGCACGAAGATAGGATGGATGAGTGTGTTCGGTTGTGGGAGTTTTGAAGTGGCCATGGCTCCAGCAGCATGGCCAGGTCGACCATCGTCATCCTCCCTGTATCACTGCTGCTGTATGTAGCGCCATTGATGCTGTCCTGTTCGCCCTCTTGCTACATTCCGATGTCAGTCCCCGTTTCTATCCCATCGCTGGAAAGGGTTCCTCGGCAAACAAACGATGCAGGTGGATCTGCTGGCTGCCGTGCCTTCTGCCTTCGAGGAGCCAAAGCTCCCGGGGAACGATTGACCATGCTGAACAGTACGTCGAAGAACTTATGAGTTAGTGCATCCAGCGAGCCATGTTCAATATGAACCTGTGTCTAGATCATTGGCATCCAGACAGATCTAGGCTCCGCCGCAGGCTGGCTTAAGATGATGCGTGGGTGGGAGCGCCAGGAGTTGATTCCCTTCGCCGACCAGCTTTCCAGTGCACTCAGCTTGCCCTTGGCCAATGACGCCAGCACATCGAGACTGCGTGTGGACAAGTTCCAGATGCAGCAGGCCTGCTTAATTAATTTTGCAAGGCGTGGTCTTGTCATAGTCTGTCTCAGTAGAGCTCGCATGTTGGCCATTCTGAACTGTGGCAGTTGAGGCATGACTAATGCAGGTTTCCAAACGGCTGGGCATGCCACTTAAACAGGCATCGTGGGTAGACACACGCTCCAATCAAGTCCTGCAGTTGCTCCCATGAGCAGGATGCCCAAGCAGTCAGCTTTGTCTCAGGCAGTGCGCGAGCGCTGCGGCGTGGGTGTCCGACAGACCCTGGCGGCCTCGGTGCCAGAGGCTCTGGCAGGCAGCGGGGGCATCGGATATCCCATGAGCCAAGGCTGCAGTCGCTTTCCGTTCGGCAGAGTGGGGCCTTGCATGGCTCCAGTTTAGTGAGTCTAGTGTTTCGAGATCATGCTGGTTGCGAGTCCACTTCTACTGAAAACCTCATCTCGGTGTTTCACCAAAGGATTGTGAAGCCGGTGAACAGCGCAGCCAGTGATGGCCTCTTCTTGTAGCTTGGTCCATGACTGCGCTGGCAGGGTCGACTAGTCGTGTTGAACAGGGAACAGTTCAGGAGTCTCGATCAGCGGCGAGGAAAGCCGTGTCTGAAACTTTAGGAACCAAGGTCATGTTTGTCACGGCCTTTCGCTACAGTAATGTGCGACGAACGGTGTCATGGAGATCAGTTTGGGAACATAGATCCCCACACCCCGGCTGCTTTCGAAACTAGAAGGGTTTGGAACACCAGCCTCTGGGTCCAGATCTTTCAGTTTTGCTACGGGGCTTGAATCAGTGATCCGTCGCTTCTTCGAAAGAAGGAGATGGGCGGCTTGAGAATCGAAGTCCCTCTTGTCAAGGTCCTTCCAGTCTGTGCTACTGCTACATCCCAGTCGTGAAGATCCGGCTTGAACTAGTACATCCCTGCCGGGAGCTAGTCGCCAGCTACTTCTCCTGCTTGCACAGCTTCCGCAACCAGGGGTTCGGTGAACAACTGCAGAGTTTCATCATGCAGATGTGGAGACCGTCCGCATGCAAACTACGCGACCTGGCGGACCTAGCGGCGCAACAGGCAGCCGTACCACCAGCACTGCACGAACGACATCACCAACAATAACTAAACGGTTGCCACGAGTAGCACTGACCACGAGTAGCACCACTAACAACGACGGCGACAACGAAGACGACGAAGACGACCGCAATCACAACTGCGACCGCACTCACAACTGCAGCAGCAGCAGCAACAACAACAACAACAACGACGTGCTACCACGCCGACGAGCTGCTGCTGCTAAACTGCAAAGGTGCCGAAGCGAAGCAGAGCTCAAACTCGCCGTTCAGAGCAACCTGAGCTCTGCGGTCACGATCTCAGTGGGGGCTTGGGGGCATGGTAAAAAGGAATGCAGGTTCCAAGATCAGAAGCAGCTGTTGTTCATAGCAGCCGGCTTACACCATGAGTCCCCTGACCAGAAGCAGGTTTTGCAACTTTCATGTGAGGGATCAAATGACACAGTTCCCCGCCGGGTTGCATTGGGCCTTTGAAGCCGTAGACCCTTTTGAAGCAATTTTTGAAAGCTCCCGCAAGACACCTTACAGAATCACACTCAGAACGTGATGGATCGCATGAATTGCCTGGCACCTGGGAACACTTAGACAGGTCGTTGAACCATGACATAAGGTCGGTACAGGCCACATTGTCAGCAATCCAGACCTGCAGAGCTATGCAGGGCATGACAAGGTCTCAGACAAGCACAGAGAGATTCGGGCAAAGTACCCCGTGGATCAAGAACCCAGCAAACAGGGAGTCTTCCAGCAGAAGAAGACGGCGGTGGTGCTGCAGGTGTTAAGGGTCGGCTCAGGGCAGGGTTTGGAAGTGCACGTCCTGCACGACCAATGCCCAGCGGCTTCAGTGTTTTGTGAATTTACTTGTGGGGTTGGAAGGAAGGAAGTGCTCAGACACCCTCTTTTCTTCAAGTTGAAGTTTTCGGATAGGCCCAGGAAAAGACTGCCTGATTCCAGATGTTTCGCCTGGTGGCAGGAGTACCTGCAAGGCGAGCACTTTGTGGTAAACAGCATCTCCTTGGACGGAACTCACCTGGTACAGGACCGGGCCTGGACATGAATAAGCCTTTCACCGTTGCCTCTGTTGAGTTTTCAGCTCTTCCTTAAATATGCACCCATTATCATCCATTCCAGCTCGCATGTCCTTGCGGGGCCTCCCAGTGCAGGACCTCTGGCGGGATGAGAAGATCTGTTCCGATCGCAGTTTGCTTGAGCTGATTTACGGCAGAAGTTCGTGCCTACCCCGTCTACGGTTTGCCGATGTTTGCTGTTCCTGCGTGCGGCTTGTCCCAGGCTTCGTGACCTCTTCGCTCCAAGGTTTCCCAAGGGCCCCAAGCCGAAGCGAAGACCAGTGAGGCGAGATCTTCTACGGTCATCAGACCCTGGTGGACGCGGAGGAGCACCGCGATGTCCTGGAGTTCACCTACCAGGTTTGGGGATGCCGTTACATCCTTTCTGAGACTTGGATTCTAGTAGATTCCAGTCCTGTTTTGAGAAGAAAAAGGCCCAAGCCGGTCCAAACCGCACCCTGGAGGCCCTGGACGCCGTGGGGCTGGGGGTGGGCGCGGCACATCTCGAGGCGCCTTTTGTCGAATTGGGCGCCTTCTGGGCGCTTCTTAGGGGACGGCTTGCAAAGCGGTGTCTCAGGTGGTGCGCACTCGGGAAGGAGTGCGACTCGTTGAGCTGCTTGGCTGCGAGGGAAGATGCAGCACGTCGATGACGGCCGCTTCGGGGGGGGGTGGGGCCGGAGAGCGTAGGTCCGCTTGCGTTCACCCATCTGAACATCAAGTCGTGCAGTGCGCATGCTCCGACCACAGGGAGCTCCTGCCCAGATGTTCCCACGCGTCTCTCGACCTTGTCACGGCAGCATTTTCTCGCTATCAGGATCAATCCGCGCACAGCAGGGCACGAGCCCCGGGCGACCCAAATCGTCGGCCACGACCAGTACACTCGCCTCGCACAGGCACCGCAGACTATTACAATAATTGCCATGTCTGGGGTTTGCGGCACTGGACCAGTCTCTCTAGTGCTAAGGGTTGGAAATGCGAAGGGAGCTTTGTTCTGACTCGCTTGTTGTGCAAGCGGCAGTTGTCGAGGCCCAGCTGGGGATCGCCAGACATTTCGTTAAAAGCAGAGGGGTTTGAGGCTAGTTTTACCTCGTGTCTGCGAAACTGCAATTGATCTTGACTCGGGAAGCTTCCTGGAACACTGACAGGGCGCCTTGCTACTACCAACTACTACAAGAGATCCTGCCTTGATCTAGGGGAACAACAGGAGCCTCAAGGGGAGAGATCCGGAGAGCTGCGATGCGAGCTGCAGGCTGTCTTGCGCCCTGGCGACTTCCTTGAGGATGCGGCGAAGCCTGACAATGCACGACCGTGGCCGAATGGGAGCATGATGGACTCTTGGCTCCTGCCGGTTCGACCGGGGCAGTGCCGATGTTTTGTTTGGAGTCTTGCTGCTGGACGTTGTCGAAACCTGAATATTCTGCCCAAGAGGTCGTGTTCCTTCGTGCCCCAGCGGATGCGGAAGTACCCAGCGCTGAGCTGCTGAAGGCAGGTGAGACGATCATGCAACCTGAAACGCTCGCACAAAGCAACCCCCCAATTCAGCCCCCTGAGATCGTGGAGCTGCCGACGTTTCGAAGCTTCGACCGGGCTCCGGTGGCCATGCTCGAGGAGGTGCAGGGTTTCGCAGCGCTTGAAGAGGATTGAATAACAACGCAGAAGTACGGGTGTCTTCTTGACTCTCGAGGTGCTTGCAAATTATCCTTTCTCCTTCTGGATTGCGGCCCGGACTCGGGACCTCTTCACTGTGCCGATGCAGGGCCGCAGACAGAGATGCCGTACTTGTACGCTTCAAGTTGGGCCAGAAGAGATCCAAATACATGATCTAGATGCCGGATGAATGCAACCTGCTCCTCTCACAAGGACTATGATGCGGGGATCCTTTGTAAGGGTCCTGACGAGGGGACTCGTCAAGACATACGCCTGCACATGCCGGCTTGCATCACCGTTGGTGTACTATAAATGCATGCGTACATACATACATATGTGCGCACATGTATCTAGGTATATGTCTGTACACCAATAGTTACACATATACAGAAACGCGCGGGTCAACAATGCATGAGTTTCATCTATATAAGGCGTGTGTCGACGTGGGAGCCTGCTTTTCGCGAGCCCTTTTGATCATGTGTTTGTTTGGCATGTTTTTCATGATTCTCGTGTCCATACGCCCATCGGGGCGGAGTTCACCGTACTTGTGATACAGTGCATTTAGTTCCAAGAAACCCTTCCTGGATGCGTGACAGTTCATTGCTCACGAGCTTCAGCCACGGTTTTGAGCTGTGCCCGGCTGCATGCACTAAGCTTATTTATAAGCATATAATCAGTAAAGCACAGAGAGAGGTATGTATGTGTGTATATATATACATACATGTGTGTGTTTATATTCATACACACTAGCATACACATGAATCGTTGTGTGTGTGTGTGTGTGTGCGTGTGCGTGTGCGCAAAGGCATATTGGCGCGGTGCTGCGTCTCTGTATGTACGTTGATTCTGGGCATGGTGCCTGATTGCACCTACTTGCCTAGTTACTTGTTGTTTGCTGCTGCTGCTGCTGCTGCTGCTGGTTGTTGCTGCTGCTGTTGTTGTTGTTTTTTTGGTCGTTGTTGAGCCGCCGCGGATGGCTTTCGAAGCGAGGATGGCCGTGCTCCTGGCCGGCCCGGAGGAGGCCCTGGACCGAGACCTGCGGCGCATTCGGGACCTCGAGATGACGACGCTGTCCTGTGGCATGGAAGTTCTCTCTGGGTCTTTTCAGTGTTGGAGTCGAGTCTACATGAACTTCCACAACAACCAAGGACCAGGTGTCGCAGAGCATTTTCAAGCCTGGGGCCCACCCGCCCCGCTCCCAGGTACCAACGCTACGGATCCTTCGACCCCGTGGCCTGCGCCGGCGTTCTCACCGGCGGGGACTACGACGCCTGGAAGGTGCAAGCTGAAGCCGAAGCCCCGATAAAGAGAAGGGTCCCAAAGCCTTTGATTGGAACTAATTGGGTTTGGGGCCGTTGGGGAGTTCTGGATCATGCTGGATCCCTGCCACAAATGCCGGCGCCGTGGAGACCAAAGAGTCTTTTATTGGAATGTCGCAGTCGGTCTACAAGAAGCTGTCGGCCAGTTGTTCTTATTCTTGCGCAGGTCCGGGGTTTTTACGGGGTTCAGACGCCCCAAAGAATGATTCTATCACGGCTTCCGTAATTTCTGCTGAGCCGAAAGCATCCGCTATTCAACGTGTCCCACGCGCTCTCGAACAAGGGTGTGATGTGCCTGACCAGATACGGCTCAAACCCGAAGCTTCCTCCCAAAACTCTAGCAAGAGGCACGCCGTGCGGAACTGGCCGCGAAAAGGAATGCCGAGAAGGCTGCAGAAACGGACAAGACGGGACCAAAGCCTTGAATCTCGGTGAGGCACTGGCTCAGGACACTTGCCCGGTCTTGCTTCCGGGCGCTCTGGGTTGTCGTACTCGTGATCCGGTGCTGTATGTACAAGGTTTTTGATGCTGCAACCTCCCATGAGTAAGCCATGTAGAACCACGCATCAGGAACGGCTCCGATCCCACCGACGCCTCCAAACGATGGCTGCATCTCCACTTCGGAGCGAGGGATGCTAAGGACGCGCCAAGGGCAAGGACGGCACGGAGATGACTGCGTGCTCTTCATTACTGGTGTTGTGCCAGTTGGTGCAAAAGGATTCCCGTCCTGGAGTGGGATGGCTTGCATCGGCGATGAGTGTAGCACGGGGCAAGCGCAGATGTACCAGCGTGTCTAGATAGCCGTCTCCGTGACACGGGAGACTGGCAACAGCATCGTGACGACATGATGCGTGCACCGGATGGTCTCCTCATGGCAAAGGGGCGCGACGAAAAAAGATGCCGGGCTTGCACCCTGCAGGGATACCAGCCAGTTCGTTCGAGTCATCCGAACTAGGTTCCTCGTCTCTGGAGCCCAACCGCAGAAAGTTCCGAAACCCAAGGTGCACTTTGGACCAGTGTGAGTGATCGCGCCCGCAGTTCATCAGTGTTAACCCTCGGTTTCATACCGCCCTGCTATGACTTGTTACCCCGCATGTCCAAAAACTCCAGCCACAAAGAGCAGCCTGTGTATGTACGCGTTTATATACGCGTGTCTGTCTGCCTGTCGGCCTGGCTGGCTGCCTGTCTGCTTGTCTGTCTGTACATGCGCAGGTATGTGAATACGTACGCAGGAATAGCGTAGGTGCATAGGATTTTACATGGTCTGTCTGTCTGTCTGTATGTATGCATACATACCTGCATGTGTCTCCGCGTATAGGTTTCTCTCTCTCTCTCTCTCTCTTTCTCTCTCTCTCTCTCTATATATATATGTGTTATATATAATATCTCTCTCTCTCTCTCTCTCTCGCTTTCTCTATATATATCTATATAAATGTGTTTATATACAGGTATATGGATATTCAATGTGTCGTAATAAAGGTTCATGATACAGATCGCTACAGGTCTGCGCACAAGTAGGCCTTGGACTCTACGTCTCCTTAACGAAGGCTCGGCCGATTTGGCCTCCGCGACCTGCCAAAACGCTTCGAGGGCGGCTTCGGAGCGGTCCAGGCGCGGAGAGGGTGCCATTCAAAGAGCATTTTTTTCGGAGGCTTAATTAAAAAAAAAAGGGGGGCTTCACCAACCTTTTTGAAGGCTTGACATGGGTGAATTCTTGGGCTCGGCAGGGCTTGGGGGTTCGGCGAGCTGGCCAGGACTGGTCGCGCGTGCTCTCCTTGGGGGAGCAGCAGCGCCTGGCCGCAGCGCGCTGCCTTACTACGTTCGGGCCTTTGACGGCTCCGGGCCCCCGACAAGAAAGGGCCTCCTCGGGCGTTTGTAAGTGTAAGACGGGGGATGCACCTGACATTTGCAGTCTGACCGGGTTCCATGGTTGCCAAACATGCTGTGTGAGTCGGCTAGCAACACTAAGAAATGCCAGGAAGCTGATGGCGATCCTAGAGTCCCTAAAGCTCAGATGAGCCGAATGCTGCATCTGCCTGGAATCTGCTGTTGCCGGAGGCAGCCACGTTTTGTGGTGCTCGATGAGGCTCGACGTGCCTGTCCATTGAAGGGTCGGGGATGGCTGAGGCTCTTCGAGTCCTGAAACGTCGTACCATCGCAGACTGCAAGGCAAGAGCTCACGCCCCTGAGGCCACAAGCGCTCTGCCACTAGCTGCGGAGAAGACCGTCTACGACCAGCGGCTGCCTTGGCCATCCGTTCCTTTCGGCCCAGAGACTTCGGAGATTCGGTGAAGAGGCTCCGTACGAAGGAGCACCGAAGCTTTCCAGCATGTCTCGGATCCAAGCATCGGATTTCGAGGATCGGAGAATAGAAGTTTGTAGTTTTGGGTCCGTATATGAGGAATAATTATGAGTTCGATGAAGGCATGCTTTCACGTACAATGCTGTCGGTACACAGTTCCACAACTTAAAGATGTCGTCCCACAACGTTTTGAACATGGCGGACACCAAACTGCATGTAATGCAGATCTCTATACTGCCCGAGTGGTAGAATTCGTAGTGCACAGATCTCCAGCGCAGGACGCCCGTTGCTTCAGGAAACCTCTGAATCAGAAATGATCGCAGGTTCACTTCGGAGCCGCGCATCGAAGGCTATGTCGGCAGCTCAGAGGTAAGGACAGAGAGAAATGCAGAGGTGGTGAGGCCAGCATGCTTAAGGCTTAGGCTTTGCGTGGCTGCGGCTCTTCCCTGTATGGTCTGGGCCGGTTCCAATGCATGCAAAACGTATACTGTGCCTTTATGATCCATGTATGGATCTGTAGTTGCGTGTGCAAACAGATAGATAGATAGGTAGATAGATAGATAGATAGATAGTTCCGAGGTCAGTGTGGGACACCGCGTCAGCTTGGCAAAGTACCATGACGCTCCCATGGCACACTTAGTAGGAAGATCGGAGAACTTTGTTCTGCCAGCCTTGCCTCGCTTTGGTTTCGACCGAGCACCGTTGACTGGTGACCTTTTCCCTTCATGGCTGATGAGTTCTGTTTTTTTTTTTTTTGGGGGGG